TAATCTGGTGTCAATTTGAGGATTCGGAGTGAAGGGGTGGAGTCTAGCCTATCAATCAGATCATAGCCAATGAGGCATCCGTGTGGGTATCTACTTCTCCTGAGGATTCTGGGAACTTCTGTACTCCTCCTTGGAGGTGGGAGACACCCTCTCTTCCTCGGCTCACTCCCTGCAAGACATCCTTGTGGAGAAGACATATGGAGAGAGGCTGATGGAGCTGGAGAAGTCAGATGGAGACCCCCTGCCAGCGCTGAGATGCTTGCAATGCCACTGGATCCACAAGACTTCCCACCCACTGGCCTGTGATTTTTCTGCATTCACCGTCTAGTATTGGACATATGGGCTAATATTGGATTTATGGACTTGATCTGGACTGTGCTGGGATGTTTTCTCAATATTCAACTGCTCTTGTATATAAAGCTCTTTTTAATAAACATATGAGTGTCCATGAATTTGTTTCTCTAGTCTACCCGGATTAACACAGTCTTCCAGGTGATGGATTGACAGAGTGCGTGCAACAAGGGATCAAGTATCAGAACAATTGTGAGGATGGTACAGGACTTTGCAGTGTTTCATTCTGTTGTGTCAAAATGATGCAATGACACCTAACAACAACATGGAGAGCAGTGACAGCCCAAAATCTATTTATAAAGGCCCCACATAGATTAGACCCCTCCAATGAATTATTTGTGATCATTACCAAGGATGTAGAAAATCTTGCACTCAGGCAAAGTGCATTGGAAAGTAGATTATCTCTATACCTCTCCAGCCAGCCTATGGAGGGGCAATCTCTCTTAGGAGCTTGCCTGGGTTTGTCCTTGATGGAGGTCACTATCCTGGGGCACAACAAGGAGTCACACCAGTCTGACGCTGGTTGCCTTGGTAAGAAGGCCCTTGACCCATCTTGTAAACCCTTTACATCTAATATAATGTACATGTCCCAATCATGGTCCTGTTCCTGCTTTTTTAGTTCCACCTGCAATTGTGATGTATGAATCTGCCACCAATTGTGAATTTCTGACAATTTCCCTTGCTCCATACCTTATTTTACTAGTGTCTCAACTGGAATCCTGGAATGCCATTTTGACCTTGTGCTAATGGGTTCCCTCATCCAGATGATGTTTTTGTGTCTTTGTGCTGCCTTTGTCCTTTTTGAGACTTAAGAATAATTTTCCTTAAATTGTATTTGAGGTTAGAGTCTCTTTTGTACTCTAAAATGATGTGCATGTAAACAAACCTCAAAAATTGAGGCATTGGGTATGACTAAACTGACTGTCTCATACCTAAATTAAACTCTATTTTTAAGCATACTATAGTTTAGCCTAAAATCCCTGCTTCTGCTGCTTTGAAGAGATCATTCAGCTTCTTGAAAATATTTCACTGCTTGTAATACAAAATAAGCAATGGTGACACTTTTAGCTTGTGTGCAGAATTCTTAAAGGCTATTTGAAGAGAGTATATGCCTTGCTGGATCCAAGAATAATTCCTTCATCAACATGTCCCAGGAGGTGAGGAAAAAAATTATATTAATAATGATTATAGTTTTAAAACCTCCTTTATAGTTCTCTATCATGTAACCTGTTCACTTTTAATAGAGTGTAAGACTAGTACCTTGCTATACCAGGAAATAGGATAGATTTGGGGCAATTAATTTTAATAAACAATAATTTAAATTGATAAATTGTCTCCTTACCCCACGGTACTGGCTTTCGTTAAAAATCTGCGGTGGCAAGGGGTACCCTGTAGCTGGCCGACTGTTTTCAGGTACATTTTCTCTCATCCACTTTCGGTTTTCTTCATTTGCTGCAATATCTTTTTC